TTCAATTCCTGACCCTCAATGGTCAAATACGTTCTTTCATCACGTAAGATTCACACATCCCAAAACTTATTCTTTTCACTATTTTCCAGTGTGTGAACTAAGGATGGATTTTTTTTACTGTTATCACCTCTCTAATTTGACAAAATTTCATCAATTGCAATTCAACATTTCAATAAACAAGGATTCTCCATTAAATTTGATTGCTTAAGACTTAATTGGGCTAACAATCTCTTATCAAAAGTCTAATTTTCTTAAACAATTGTTTGAAACTTAACCAATATATTTGGTGGGTCTCCTGTTTCATGCACCTGCTTTTTCTGGTGGGTCCCCCTTAAATTTTCTAAATGACCCATGTAACAAGTTTTCAGCCGATGACTCACAAATCAAATGACCATAGAGCACCAGGTTTTAAAGAACCTTGCCGGCTCAAATGCTCGAGTCATAAAGGATACGAAAAGAAATTTTCAAATAAAATATTTTTTTATGCATTGATTAGTGTAATGTCCCTCATTTAATACCAATTCAAGTATAACGATCTCTAACTTGAGATTTTCATCCAAGTACATCCTATTGACCTTAGACAATCCGTACAAGAGTTTTAATTTTACACGTGAAATCCATATTTATCTCAATATCTTTCTACAACAGTGAAATTCCCCCAAACTATTCTAAATTTGGTCAAAGAATGTAAAATTTAATGATTTTGGGTTTAGCATCTATGGTCCACTATTTCAACCTATTCAATTATGAAATCAACTCATTTCTACATAATGCTTAACTTAATTCATGTGCTCAATATATTTCATAATTTACATGAAAAAAGCAAAAATTAATCTAAGCATGCACTTAATTCAACATTCATAGATCAATTCATGAGTCAATAAATGCATCATTAGTAACCAGACTAACTAACTCACACAATCACACAAAAAGATTTTTTTTTTACTAAAACAATAAAAGCACACAAAAACAATGAAAACTCATGTTTTCCACCCCCAAACTTAAATTAGACATTGTCCTCAATGTCTTTAATCATAAATCCACGTATAAAGGGGTGGGGAATAATGTGAAGAAAAAACTCTCATGATACGACTTGTAATTCAATGGCTAATTTTCCTATTGCTCTCATTTACTCGTTGGTCAATTTTGGTTTAAAATGTTCCTGAAAAATCAAATAAAGCATTAAAATCAAATAATAGGAACAAGTGTTACTTATTTCTAACATTTAATAAATTAACTAGTATATCGAAAACCTAAGGGGAAATAGAATATGGATGGTGAGTCACAAATAAATTTAAAATAAAATTAAACTATCCTAAAACTCAAAAACATAATAAATAAAAAGGAAGAAAGTTTGGGTTGTCTTTCAAGAAACGCTTCTTTAATATCATTAGCTAGACTTTGTGCTATGTTTGATTATGGTAGCTCGAATTAAGTTATGTCATCATTGCACTTTGTGCTATTTTCATTTATGCACCATTTTTTTGCTCTCCAAATTTTGATATTTTCATTTTCATCTTTACCAAGAAGTCCACCAAAATTTGATTTTTTTTGTCAATTCTACAGCAATGATTATTATTGGAAGGTTTCTCAAATGAGGAATAAAGATTAAATATTTCTTGCTTGTCATTCATCCTCAATATTAGTTCACCCTTCTCCATTTCAATTAAAGTCCGATCAGTTGCTAAGAATGGCAGAGCCAATATAATTGGAATGTCTCGATCTTCTGGTATATCTAGCACAATGAAGTCCATCAAAAATATTAAATTTTCTGATTGTATGAGCACATCCTCAACTTTGTCCGTGGTTTTGAAATTGTTGTATCAGCTAGTTGTAGCTTTATTGATATTGATTTGACTTTACCAAATCTCAATTTCCTGTAAATAGGATATGACATTAGATTTATAGTAGCACTCGTGTCACACAATTCATTAATAGCATAAGAATTTCCAATTGAAATAGGCAAAGTAAAACTCCTTGGATCTTTCAACTTGTGGGGCAATTTGTTTTGCATTCTTGCACTACTTTCCTCTGTTAATGCCACAATTTCAAATTCCTGAAGCTTTCTTTTCTTTGTCAACATTTCTTTCAGAAATTTTGTATAGCTTGAAATATGGAATATCGCATCAATCAACGGAATATTGATCTAGAGCTTCTTAGAACATCAATAAAATTTTTAAATTTTGTATCTTCTTTGTTCTTCTTGAGCCTCTGAGGAAAAAGAATAGGAGGTACGTAAGCCTTAATTGGATTTGGTGTCTTGACAATGGATGCTTCTGTACTTTCTTTATTCTCAATTGAGGCGGATGTAGATTTTTCTTTCATTATAATTTCATCAACTTCTTCATGGTCCTCTTTTCTTTCTGGCCATTTCACAGTAATCTTTGGTAATTGTAACCCACTCCTTATAGTTATAGCATAAATATTTTTCTCCATTGACTTCTTTCGAAATCTTTAGAAAAACGGAAGTGGAGGTATATATGCTTTAACTTTACAAGAGCCCTGGATAGATAGTTTTCTCTTATTGTCATCACTT